AAAAAAAAAAAAAAAAAAATAGGGCTGTGTATAGCGATGCATACTGGTAATCCCAGCAGTTGGGAAGCTGAGGCAGGAGGATCTTCATGAGTTCAAGACTAACCTGGGCTGTATAGTGAGTTCAAGGCCAGCCCAGACTACATAGTGAGACCTTGTCTCAAAAAAGCCCAAAAATAAATAAATAAATTAATTAATTAATAAAATAAAATGAGCCAGGGGGCCAGGGATTTCGCTCAGTGGTGCCCCTGACTGCCCTGAAAGTGCAAGAACCCGAGTTCCATCACTGGTACCAAAAAAACTCACAAAAAACAAAAAACAAAAAGCCAGGGATGTAGCTCAATAGCAGAGCACCCCTGGCTTTAATCCTCCACAATACCCCCTTAAAAAATTGGGGTATAAGCTGTCAAAATTAGGAACAGAATTGCAGAATGTTAGAATTGGAGGCCCAGGGAAGACGCCTCATCCCAGGCATTCGGGACTCAGGTCAGGCAGGCGGGGAGACGGTGCAGATCTCAGCCCCCACGTGTGAGGGGTGGGACCGAGCAGCAGGCACCTTTTCTCGCTCCAGGTCTGCGAAACCATGGACACCCGGTTCCTGCTGCCCCTTTGTCTCGTCCTGCTGCTGCTGGGATGTGGTGAGCAGGGTCTCTGAGGAGGGTTCGGGCCACAAGTGTCTTCCCAGCCAGGCCTCTGGCCTGGCCTCCAACACCTCTGTCCACACCTTCATTTCCACCCGCAGCCCCTAACACTAACCCTCACTCCTGCTCTACAGAAGTCCAGGGCAACCCTCTGGCCCAGCAAGACGAGCCCGCCAGCCCACACCTGCTGGCCCAGGTGCAGGAGACCCTCTTCAGCTACTGGGACAACGCCAAGGCAGCGGCACAGGGCCTGTACGAGAGGACGGGCTTGCCCACTGTAGACGAGCAGATCAGGTAGGCCTGTGCGTCCGGGAGACCGACTTCATCCGGGCCTCGGAGGCCCGGCCCAGCCTCCTCCCTCAGACCCGGGGCTCCAGGTCTCTGTTCTGCCACGTCTCCTTTCTCTCCAGGGACATGTACAGCAGAAGCTCAGCAGCCATCAGCACTTACACAGGCATCTTTACTGACCAAATCATGACAATCCTTGCGGGAGACCAGTGACACCCAGGCAACGGGGGGGGGGCAGAGGGGAGAGCCCAAGTCGCCTGGCTACCCAGGGTGGGGCCGAGCTTGTGCATCGCCGTTCTCAGCTTTCTGCCTCCAACTCTGGCCTGGATCTTATCAATAAATGAACAATGAATAAATTTTTAGAAATAAGCTGTCCTTTGTTCCCTTCAGTGTGGCTGCTTTTCTTAGGCCCAACAACACGGAGGGACTGATTCAGTCCGACCGACATTTTCCTGTTTTTGGTTTTTTGGTACTGGGGATCAAACTTGGGACCTTCTGTGCTTCTGAGGCACGCGGTGGCGGCACCACTGAGCTAAATCCCCGGCCCCCAAGCAACATTTTAATGAGCACCTACTGTGTGTAGGTAGTCCTGATGGGAGGCCTGGTTCCTGGGAATGAAGAGGCGAATATGGACAATATATAATCAGGGCACAGGGGGTCACCTCTCCACACCGAGGTCTGGGACAGATCACAGACACAAGTTATCTGCAGTGGCCTTTGGGGGCATGCAGACCCTGGGGTGACTCTTTTTCTGTTTTTCTTTACGATGCTGGGAATGGAACCCAGGGCCTGACACAAGCTAGGCAAGTGGTCTACTACTGAGCTCTACCCTGGCTTTTGGGTTTGACACTTGAAATGTGCCACCTCCAGCGTTTTCTGACACAGTCCTGTGATGGACAAGGTGTTGGCACCCACAAGTCCTTGTCCAACTGAGGAAGTCAGTGCCCAAGGTAGCAGGGACCCACGAAGACAGACAGCTAAAGCCTGGGCTCCTTGCCAATTCCAATCTTTCACCTCACGCCCACATTTATTGCACCCTGCCCAGACACAGGCACACAGCAGGGAAGACAGACCTGTCCTCACCTGGTCTCCCAAGAAGCCATTGGCCCATCGGGGCCTGGCTCAGCTCTAAACACTTCTAGTGACATTGGCTCTTGTATAAGGTGTCGTAACCTCTTGTCCCTCATATGTGGTAGAAATAATGCTTCACCGGGAGCCACAGAGAAACCCTGGCTTGCAGGGAGCAAGAAGACGGCAGCTGGAGAGCATTTCAGACCTTGTGGGCCACGAGCAGGAGCAAGAGGAAGAGACCCAGGCCCCAGGGTGTGGCCGCCCTCGGTAGGTGGGGGCTGGCCGCAGGGAATGCTGTGCTGTTGTGGGTGTGAACTGCCAGGAACTGACTGGGCTGCAGGTGGGGGTAGGGTGGTTAGTGTGTAGAAGAGGGAATCTAGCAGTCGGTAAAAAGCATAGGGCCTGGAATTCCAGCTACTTGGGACGCTGCGGCAGGAGGATCACAAGTTCGTGGCCAGGCTGGACTACACAGTGAGAGCTTACCTAACAAAAGAAAACAAAAACTCATCACTAATAAATAGATAAGAAGGGGATGTAGCTCAGTTGTAGAGCTCGTGGGTTCAACCCTCTGTACTGACAAAAGGAAAAATGAAACAGAACACTCAGGACACACAAGGAAATGCAGAGGCTCCATGGTCCAAGGGAGGACCGTGCTGGGCCCATGGGTGCAGGGTGTGTGGGCCGGAAGGAGCTGAGGGTTCTCCCGGCCCCCAAGTGCCATGGCTGAGGCTGTTGTCCTGGGGTACACGGCCTGGATCTCTCTGACATGCTTGGCATTAACCCGAGCCAGTCTTTCAACACTCTTGGGGCAGCTTTCCCAGTCCTGAGTCTGGCAGCTGTGACCCAGGAGAAAACAGGGGCCCAGGAGGGGTTGCGGGCAATCCCCCAAAGTCCCCAGGGCCTGGGAAGAACTGAGGTTGCCAGGCCCCAGGAGGGGGAGACCCTGCGGGAACAATCCCTGCTCTGTCCACTTGTTTCCCACGGACTCAGGCCAAACCGAGCCACTGCCCAGGCCAGGGCGGCTTCCAACCAATCCGGGTGCTATTCTCAGACTCCTCCTCCCTTTCTCAGACCCCCACTCCGCTCCCTGAGGATCCAAGTCCAGGTCCCCAGACTCCTCCTTCCCAAGAACTTGGACCCTAGACTCCTCCTCCCTTAGACTGAGTCTGCGCCCCCATTCTTTCCTAGGGCTTAGAAGTTCAGTGCCCAGCCTGGTCCCCTTAGGATCTGAACTCGCAGCTCCTGGTTGGTGGTGGGCGCCCTCTAGTGGAGTTCAGAGTGGTCCCGTCCTGTGCCCCTGTCCAAATTCACAGTTTAGCGAGAGACCCTTAGGCCGCACCAGACCCGAACCCCAGCGTAGGAGGCCTGGAGAGCACCTTGGGACGTTTTGTAACTAGAGGTGGGAACAGGGGCAGCTGAAGGCAAAGGTGAAGCCACAGGTTAGGCTTCAAAATCTGTCCTTGCCTGGCTTCCTGTGTTAATCTATTTAAATTTGCACATGTAATCCCCACAAGGAACCCAATGCCTCCTAAGCAAGTCTTCTACCACTGAGTCACACCTCGAACCTTACCCCCCACCCCGCCCCCATGCAGTACTAGAGATAGAACCTAGGGCTTTTGCACTGAGCTGTGTGACCAGACCTTTTTTGAGACAGGGTTTCACTAAGTCACTGTGTTTCCTAGGCTGGGCTTGAATTTGTGATCTTCCTACCTGAACCTCCCAAAATGTTGGGATTACAGACCTGCACCACCACATCCAGCTCCCTAGTTCTGTACCTCTTTAAAAGAGGACTACAAAATATATAAGGTTGGGCCGAGGATTTAGCTCAGTGGTTCCACCGCCTACCCCGAGTTCAATCCCCGTACCAAAAACAAACAAATAAACAAAAAAATGCCAGGTGTGGTGGCCCATACCTGTAATCCCAGCACTCGGGAGGCTGAGGCAGGATTGCTGTGAGTTCAAGACCAGCCTGGGCTACATAGTGAGTTCCAGGTCAGTCTCAACTAAATAGTGAGACCCTGTCTCAAAAAAAAATTTATCAAAATATATAAGGTTCAGATTCACAAAATCATCACAATCTCTCTCTGAGGGACTTAGTATGGTCACTTCATCATGAATTTAAAGAATGGGCCTATGGCCAGACATGGTGACACGTGCCTGTAAGGAACACTGGGGAGGCTGAGGCAGGAGGATTGCTGTGAGTTCAAGGCCAGCCTGAACTACAAAGCAAGACTCTGTCTCAAAAAAAGAAATGCAAAACAAAGGAACAAAAGCTATGAGATATCTGTTTTGTAATATGTAAGGCTGATTATTACTCATTAGTTGCTTTTTGTTGTTTTGCTTTGGTGGTGGTGGTGTTCTTCAGTGACAGAGGATTTGGAGAATCCCAGTGAGTGCATACTACAGGGTGTACATTTAGCAATTGTTTTTTGTTTGTTTGTTTGTTTGTTTTTGTGGTGCTGGGGATTGAACTCCAGACCTTGCGTTTGTGAGGCAGTTGGTGGCACCACTGAGCTAAATCCCTGCCCTATTCTTTCCTTCTTGCACATAAGAACTTGGGACTTTATTGGCCCACTTAGTTGTAACAAGGGATACCGAGCCTCAGAGAGCTAAGTGAACTAAGTCACCTGCTAAGAACAGTCAGCAGGTCGGGGGATTTAGCTCAGTGGTTCCACCACCTGCCGCACAACTGCAAGGTCCTGAGCTCCATCCCTGTACCAAAAAACAAAACAAAACCAAAAACAATCAGCTGTCTGTACTAGTTTGAATCTAGGTGAGATCTCCACCCAGCTCATTGGTAGCAGTTAAATCTCAGAGGTGTTTTTTTTTTTTTTTTTTTTTTTTTTGTCTTCTTTAGCCTCCATGACATCCTGCCTGGGGCCACCCTCAAAACCTTGGAGCTGAAAGAAGCTGCACAGCTAGTGAAAAATCCTGGAATTCCTAAAAGCCCTCCAAGCGGAGTCATGAGGGACCTCTCGGGGAACATAAAGGCGCGCAGGCTAGGCTACCCCAAAGCCTGGGGAAGTGGTCGTGAGAACCGTGAAAGAGGGACCCTGAATGCGCAAAAACTGGAACGCCTGGGACTTGATAGAGGAAAGGCGGCGTTAACAGTTGTCTAAGAAGCCGGGCGTGGTGGCGCACACCTGTAATCCCGGCACTCGGCAGGCTGAGGCAGGAGGATCACTGTGAGTTAGAGACCAGCCTGGGCTACCTAGTGAGTTCCAGGTCAGTCTCAACTACACAGTGAGACCCTGTCTCAAAAAAAGAACGAAAAAAAAAACCCCCCAAACAAACAAACAAAACAGTTGTCTAGGAGCGTTGGGCAAAATTCCTTATCTGCGAATATGGTGGCCGGAGTTTCTTTAATGCAGAGAAGGCGAGGTTCGAGTGGGACCTTTTCACGCGTTACGGTGGCTGGAAAAGCTCAAGAAACACGGAATGAAAGAACTGCAGAATTGGCAGGTCGAAGAGGGCAGGATGGCGTGGAAGGCGCATATAATTCGAAAAGGTAGTTGATTAGAGGGTGAATGAATAGAATTTGAGAGAAACGCCTTTGTTAGTTCAGAAAGTTCAGGGACTTCAGAGGATACAGCAGCTCTACAGGTGAAAACAAACAAGCTGTGGAGCCCGTGGAATACGGTGGCCAGGTTGGTACCTTTTGTAGCCGGAAGTGGCTCTTCCGAAAAGTGGGGCTGAGGCACTTTAGCCAGATACGGCGGCCCAATGTCTCTGTCTGTATGTGAAATCTCGCGCGATCGCGCTGACGCTCTCTGGGACGGGGCGGGGCTGGCGGCGGGGGCG